TTTGCAACCAGGCTCATACAAAACTCAGAGGAATGCACTGTGAGGAAAGGCTGAAAAAATTACCCTGATGACCTTAGAGGAAGGGGATATGATTACTACAGGTATATACACAAACCTAGGTAGTAGGTTGGTAGACAGCAACCGCCCAGGGAGATACTACCGTCCTGCCAAGTGAGTGTAAAACGAAAGCCTGTAATTGTTTTACACAATGGTAGGATTGCTGGCGTCCTTTTTTCTGTCTCATGAACATGCAAGATTTCAGGTACGTCTTGCTACTTCTACTTACACTTAGGTCACACTACACATACATGTATAAGCATATATATACACACCCCTCTGGGTTTTCTTCTATTTTCTTTCTAGTTCTTATTCTTGTTTATTTCCTCTGATCTCCATGGAGAAGTGGAACAGAATTCTTCCTCCGTAAGCCATGCATGTAGTAAGAGGCGACTAAAATGCCGGGAGCAAGGGGCTAGTAACCCCTTCTCCTGTATAAATTACTAAATTTAAAAAGAGAAACTTTTGTTTTTCTTTTTGGGCCACCCTGCCTCGGTGAGATACGGCAGATTTGTTGAAAGAAGATACACACAAAATCTTCAGAGGAACTGATAGGCTTGATAAGGACAGACTGTTTGAATCAAAAGGACCAGGATCAAGGGGATACAAATGGTTGAAAAGTGGATTGACTTGGATGAGGGCAGTGGTGGAGGTAAACTCAATAAACAGCTTCATGAGAAGATATGCTAAGGCCCCAAGAGGCCAACGATCTCTGTATTTGTTCCAGCTCTGATATTTCTCTTGTTTTGAATGGGGCCATCAGCACTGAGCAATATTCTAAATGAGGGAGCACTAGCAATTTGAAGAGTGTCACCATCGGCATTATTTCCCTTATTTTGAAAGTTCTCAATACCACACCCCGTCATCTTCCCGGCTGTTGTGATCTTTGTCTCGTTATGTTCCTTAAAAGAAAGGTCAGCTGACATAATTATTCCCAGGTCTTTTACATGTTCCTTTCATTCTATTTGGTGACGCTCTTGAGTTTTGTATATAGTATTTCTTTTAGCTCTCCATTCTTTCCATATCTAAGAAGCTGGAACTTATCACCATTGAATGTCATGTTGTTCTCCACTGCCCACTGGAAAACCCTGCTTATGTCTTCCTGTAAATTTTCAGTGTCCTCTACCATAGTGATTTTCATGCTTATTTTAGTATCAACTGTAGTGTAAAGCACCCTTCTGGCAAGACAGTGATGGAGTGAATGATGGTGAAAGTTTTTCTTTTTCGGGCCACCCTGCCTTGGTGGGAATCGGCCAGTGTGATAATAATAATAAATAAAAAAAATAAAAAAATAATCTGCAAATGATGATAAAAAAGTGTGATGGGTGTTTTTATCTATGTCTGCTATGAGGATGAGAAACGGCAAAGGTGCCAGGACAGTGCCTTGGGGCACTGAGCTTTTGACCTCGCTGATGCTGGATTTTGCTCTGTTTACTAATGCTTTTTGTGTTGTGTGTGTTAGGAACCTGGAAATCCATCTGCCTACCTTCCCCATAATGCCCATGGTCCTCATTTTGTGCGTTATCACTCCATGATCGTATTTGTCAAACACCTTAGCAAAATCTGTGTAAATCATATCTGCATTTTGGTCTCCTTCCAATGCCTCCATAATTCTGTCATAATGGTTCAGTAGCTGTGACAAGCATGATCATCCTGCTCTAACACCATGCTGGTTTGGGCTATGCTGGTTGTGCTGGCCCATGAAATTTGTAATCTGCCGTCTCATCACTCTTTCAAAGATTTTTATGATGTGAGAAGATAGGGGTACTGGTCTGTAATTTTTAGCTAGTCTCTACTACCTCCTTTATGCAAAATAGCTATGTCTACACTCTTTAAGGCCTCCTGTATTTCACCTAGATCTAAACTCTTTCTCCAAAGAATACTGAAGGCTCGTGCAAGTGGTACTTTGCACTTCTTTATGAAAAGAGCATTCCATGAATCTGGTCTAGGTGCTAAATGAGTGGGCATGTTGTCCATGTTGTAACCTTTCTTCCAATAGTTGCTTATATCTCACCCTAACTTCCTCTTCTCTTAGTTTATGAATTTTCACCTCTCTCTTATGTGCTGTTACCATTTTCATTTTTGCCCCCCCATCTACCTCTTATTCTAACTGTAGCTACTTCAAAATAATGATCTGATACATCTGTTTCCCCTCTATAAACATGCACATTCTGGTCTACCCATCAAGCTTTTATCCACCAATACATAATCCAACAAGCTACTTTCATTATGCACTATATTGTATCTGGTATACTTATTTATCCTCTTTTTCTTAAACTATGTATTACTTATTACCAAACCCCTTTCTATACATAGTTCAAATAAAGGCCCCCATTTTCATTTACCCCTGGTACTCCAAACTTACCTACTACTCCCTCCAGTTTTAACAACTTTAGCATTTAGTACCTCCACTACAAGCACTCTCTCACTTGGTTCAAAACTCCCTAAATACTCAATCAACATCTCCCTCTCTCCTCTACACTTATCTCTTCCCCAGATGTATAAACACTTACTATATCCACTTTTCACATTCAACCCTTATTTTACTCCACATAATCCTTGAATTTATACATTTAAATACCCTTTTTTCCTGCCAAAACTGATTCTTGAACATTACTGCTACTCTTCCTTAGCTCTAAATCTATTAGAAACCCCTGACCTAATTCCATTTATTTCTCCCCACTGAAACTCTCCTACCCCCTTCAGTTTTGTTTCACTTAGAGCCAAGACATCCAGGTTCTTTTCATTCATAACATCCACAATCATCTCTTTCTTATCATCTGCACTACATCCATGCACATTCAAACACATCCATGCACATTCAAACAGAGCTATGAAGAATTTGAAGGTGTCTTTGGATAATGACCTTCACACAGTGAGAATATGAAGCAAAAGGAAATAAAGAAACACATTAGAGAACTCAACAAACAAATGAATGATGATGTTGCAGGACTGGTTTCCTTATTCTTATTTTCATCAAGCTATACGGAAGAAGGGGTTACTAGCCCATTGCTCCCGGCATTTTAGCTGATTTTTACAACACGCATGGCTTATGTAGGAAAGATTCTTATTCCACTTCCCCATGGAAATGAAAAGAAATAATAAGAACAAGAACTATTAAGAAAAATAGAAGAAAACTCAGATGAAAGTGTTTACATAAATGTGTACATGCATGTGTAGTGTGATCTAAGTGTAAGTAGTAGCAAGATATACCTGTTATCTTGTGGTTTATGATACAGAAAAAAAGACAACAGCAGTCCTACCATTGTGTAAAATAAATACAGGTTTCAGTCTTACACTCATTTGGCAGGACAGCAGTACCTCCTTGGGTGGCTGTGTGTTTTAATATATCATGTAGCAACCTTCAGGTAGTAGGTTGGTAGACAGCAGCCAGCCAGGGAAGTACTACCATCCTGCCAGATGACTGTGAAACAGAAACCTGTAACTATTTTACATGATGGTAGGATTGCTGGTGTCTTTTTCTGTCTCATAAACACGCTAGATAACAGGGATATCTTGCTACTCCTACTTACACCTTGGTCACACTTCACAGACACGCACATGCATATATATATACATACATCTAGGTTTTTCTCCTTTTTCTAAATAGCTCTTGTTCTTCTTTATTTCCTCTATTGTCCATGGGGAAGCGGAAAAGAATCTTTCCTCCATAAGCCATGCGTGTCGTATGAGGCGACTAAAATGCCGGAGCAATGGGCTAGTAACCCCTTCTCCTGTAGACATTTACTAAAAAAGAGAAAAGAAAAACTTTATAAAACTGGGATGCTTGAATGTGCGTGGATGTAGTGCAGATGACAAGAAACAGATGATTGCTGATGTTATGAATGAAAAGAAGTTGGATGTCCTGGCCCTAAGCGAAACAAAGCTGAAGGGGGTAGGGGAGTTTCGGTGGGGGGAAATAAATGGGATTAAATCTGGAGTATCTGAGAGAGTTAGAGCAAAGGAAGGGGTAGCAGTAATGTTGAAGGATCAGTTATGGAAGGAGAAAAGAGAATATGAATGTGTAAATTCAAGAATTATGTGGATTAAAGTAAAGGTTGGATGCGAAAAGTGGGTCAAAGAGGGGAATGTATGAGAGTATAGTTTTACCAATGCTCTTATATGGGTGTGAAGCATGGGTGATGAATGTTGCAGCGAGGAGAAGGCTGGAGGCAGTGGAGATGTCATGTCTGAGGGCAATGTGTGGTGTGAATATAATGCAGAGAATTCGTAGTTTTGAAGTTAAGAGGAGGTGCGGGATTACCAAAACTGTTGTCCAGAGGGCTGAGGAAGGGTTGTTGAGGTGGTTCGGACATGTAGAGAGAATGGAGCGAAACAGAGTGACTTCAAGAGTGTATCAGTCTGTAGTGGAAGGAAGGAGGGGTAGGGGTCGGCCTAGGAAAGGTTGGAGGGAGGGGGTAAAGGAGGTTTTGTGTGCGAGGGGCTTGGACTTCCAGCAGGCATGCGTGAGCGTGTTTGATAGGAATGAATGGAGACAAATGGTTTTTAATACTTGACGTGCTGTTGGAGTGTGAGCAAAGTAACATTTATGAAGGGGTTCAAGGAAACCGGCAGGCCGGACTTGAGTCCTGGAGATGGGAAGTACAGTGCCTACACTCTGAAGGAGGGGTGTTAATGTTGCAGTTTAAAAACTGTAGTGTAAAGCACCCTTCTGGCAAGACTGATGAAGTGAATGATGGTGAAAGTTTTTCTTTTTCGGGCCACCCTGCCTTGGTGGGAATCGGCCAGTGTGATAATAATAATAAAATAATGTAGCAACCATACACATATTATACATTCCTTATTGTATTAGGCCACTTGCAATAAAAAGTGTCTCAACATTTCATAAGTATGTTCTCCACTTACGAAAATTATCTTTTTCCACTAAAAAGCGTCTTACTCTTCTTGAATGTTTTCTCTACTAATAATGAGAAGTGTCTTACCATCTCTTGAGTTTCTTCTCCAGTACCTGCAGACTGTTTAGAACTTGAGAATGACAAGCCTGCCAGTGTCTGTGCCCACTTGTATGGTCTACCAGTGGCACTGAGGTGGTCACAGAGGTTGATGCGTAGACGGTTCAGCTGGAAAAAGTTGGCAGGATTGGGCGATGTCTGTCCATCATCGTCAGGTAAGAGACAGTTCAAGAGAGTATCTCCACTGATCACATCTCTGAAAATTAAAATACATCATGGTAATGATTTCTCAGTGACTACTAATATACAAGCTCTCACCAATGTTTCTGAACATTATGAACACAATATATCTTAGTGTCATATTGAACGTGCAATCTTTAGCGTAGCCTTCAATATACTACCTGTGTTCAGAACCTCAAGTAACACAAACCCACAGAAACACTAAACATTCCTTGTGTTCAGAACCTCAATGAACACAAACCCACACACTAAACAACAGAAATTACATAGATTAATGAAAATTTGGACTTTATACTGAAGCATTCTTGAGTTTACTAAAGGGGAGCTACTAAATATCAGTTACCTCTCAGTGTAAGTTATCTTTCTTTTGTTGTGACATTCTAATTTTTAAGTTGTTCCATAAGCCTTTTCCCCTTCATTGTATTCTTGTAATAATGTTGGTAGAATTACTGACAATATGTTAGGTAAAAGGACACTAGTGCAACTAATGTGACACTTTATTGTGGCAATGTTTTGCTCTTCAAGAGCTTTGCCAAGCCATGTAACGGCCTGACAAAGCTCCTGGAGAGCGAAACATTGCCACAACAAAATGTCATACTAGTTGCATTTGTATCCTTTTACCTAGCTGTATGTTCTTTGTCTCCTGCATATTCTATGTGCTTTTTCTTCTGTACATTCCTCTACATTCTTTCTCTGAGGAATAGATTTTATACCTTATATGCTTGTGTACAGATCCTCCCAGACTTTACATCCGAGTTCTGTTTCGACCAGCCGGTCGGATCTTGAAATGGACAGACGTTGGAGCTTTGTCAGCATGGCATGTACAAGTCGTATACCTGTACAATATTCTTTTAACCCAATAAATTTCTGTAATGATTATTTCATTTTTTATCAACCTGCTTTATTACCTTAAGTTTCATTACTCACAAACTGATGTTCCTAACTTGTATGTATTATTTACAGACTTCACAAATTAAAATGCTGTATGGAATGTAGCCTAGACTAGGTCTATCAATTTTCTTGTTACTCATTAATTTAACATTATCTTTCACCATCATAGTCTTTTGATGATTTTAACAAACACAATACAGAAAACATATTTATCATTTTTTGTTTTCTATTTTATCATTTTTAAAATACCAAGAGTAATTTCTATATTCACATATTTTTTTTTAACATGTCGGCCATTTCCCACCAAAGCAGGGTGACCTAAAGAGAAAGAAAAACCCTAAACAGAAAGAAAAAAATTTCATCTTCATTCAGTACTTCCACCATCATTTATATATAGTCACTGTTTTTGCAGAAGCACTCAGATACAACTTTTTAGATGTCCCTCCAAAAAGCCAATATCCCAAGCCCCTCCTTTAAAGTGCAGGCTTTGTACTTCCCACCTCCAGGACTCAAGTCCGGCTAACCGGTTTTTGTGAATCCCTTCACAAAATATTACCCTGCTCACATTCCAACAGCTCATCAGGTTCCAAAAACCACTTGTCTCCATTCATTCCCATCTAACACGTTCATGCACAATTTCTGGAAAGTCAAAGCCCCTCACCCACAAAACCTCCTTTGCCCCCTCCCTCACCCCCTCCCTCCAACCTTTACTAGGATGACCCCTACCCTGCCTTCCTTCCCCTAAAGATTTATACACTCTCCAACTCATTCTACTTTGTTCCATCATCTCTAAATGACCAGACTGCCTCAACAACCCTTCTTCAGCCCTCTAATACTTTCAGTAACTCCACACCTTCTAATTTTCACACTATGAATTCTCTGCATAATAACCACACCACACACTGCCCTTCGACACGACATCCCCACTGAAAATTATACTTATGTGTACCTGTACCTAAATAAACTTACAGCATTATGCAGGGTGAGCACCCCGGCATAATGCTGTGGCAAAAATCAAAGGCATACCATACAGGGGGGTCTTTTTCGTCAGCGCATTATGCTGGGTAGCAGCCATTAGAATGATGTCACGGCCTGCCGCCACACTCCACAGTGACTCCTCAATGCTCACGTGGCTGCTGTGGTGAGAGGAAGTGTTGCACTTTTGTCTCTCATCCGCCCCATCTTCAGTTCGCTGCTCTCTTTGGTTTTGGGGCTATACATGTTTGATTATGGGTAAAAGGAAGTCTTAACACCAGAAACTATAGCTCAAATCATAGGGCCTCACAAAGCTGGGCACCACACAAAAGAAATAGTGGAGAATGTTGGTGTGTGTGTGAGCATTCAGTGAGGAACTGGGTGCAGTGTTTCAAGGCTGGTGGCTGTGTTGAGTTACCATCTGCCAAACCTCGGCCTGGCCCCTCGAAGAAGGCATCTGTTCGTACTTCAACTGTGTTAAAGAAGCTGTTAGAGAATACACCTATCATAATTGCTAGAAAATTGAAAGAAAACAACCCACATCTTCTCTCAGAGGTGTCTGTAAGAACTGTTAACAGACGTGTGTCAGAGCTGGACTACAGTAGTCACCACCAGGTTAAGAAACCAAACGTCTCCAAGCCACAGAAGAAACATAGGATGGATTATGCAAAGAAATATCTTCACTGGAATTCTCAACAGTGGTCTAAAGTACTTTGGAGTGATGAAGCAACCTTTATCATCACCTGTAACCGTGGGGGACATGTGTACCAGCCCAGAGGTAGTGACCCGTTAGACCCACGCTACACCTGTGAGACCACCAAACACCCAGACTTGCTCATGATTTGGAGGTGTTTCAGTGCTCAGAGTGTTGGTGAAGTCATTGCACTTCTCCTAAACCAGTATATGAGCTAGTATAATTACCTGGAGTTACTGTGTGACAATTTACATGAGGCGTTTGACAAGTGTGGGGCTACGATTTTTATGAAAGATAGTGCATCGTGTCATACTGCTAAATCTGTATTTCAGTGGCTTAAGGACTGTGAAGTGAGGTTCTTTAATGACTGGCCAGAAAATTCCCCAGACCTGAACCCTATTGAGAACCTCTGGTCAACAGTGAAATGAAGTTTACTGGGCAAGGATATCAGTTCCATCCCACGGTTGGTGGCTGCTCTACATGAGGCATGGAATAATATACCTCCCCAAACTCTCAAGAATTTGTGTGAGAGTCTTCCTACATGGCTGAGGTCCATGATTAACCCTTTCAGGGTCACCAGGCCCTCTCCGAGACTTGGTCTCAGGGTCACCAAATTTTCAAAAAAAAAAAATTATTTTTTCTAGTGAAAAGATAGAGAATCTTTTCCCAATCATAATGACACTAAAAGTATGAAATTTGATGGAAAACTTATGGAATTATGCTCATGCAAAGTTAGCGGTCTTGACGATGTTTACGCATCGGCAATTTTGCCTAATTTGAGCCCTATTTTCGGCCTATTCCAGTGTACTAGTCGACAAAAATCATAACTATTGCACTAGAACTCCATTTTTTCTATCGAATGAGTACAAGAAACCACCCATTTACTGATTTCAACTATCCAATAAAGTGGTCAGAATTTAGCAATTTTGCCAATTTCACACAAATTTCCAAAGATGCCAATTTCCAAATAGGGTCCAGAATAAACAAGAAAGACATTCCTGGCACTAAAATAACATTTCCTCTGTTTATTAGTCATGTCCCCACGCCCCTCTTACATTCTTTTGCTTTCCACTTTGAATTTTTATTCTCACAAAAATAGAAGATTTACTGTTATGCAGACTACTGCATTAGTGTAAAAAATGGTATAAATAATATCGGCGAACTTGTGAAAGAATATTAGACTCACCAGTTGACGTGTATTGGACGCTTGGCATGATTTGTTTACTTTTGAACTTTGGTAAAAATCAAACATTTCTGCTACTTTCAGCTAAATTTCAAGGTACTTTTCATTGTAAAACCAGTCAAAATCATCTCAATTTCTGTAATATGTCTTCCATTCTATAAAATGAGACCAGGAAAACTAGAATACAACAATAAATGCCATATGAAAATACAGTGCAAAGTCGCTGTTTTAATCCAAAAACACGGTCAAAGTTTTTTTTTCTCATTATGCACTGTGTGCTGCAGGATTTTTTTTATACTGTGCACACTGACCACATAGACCCATTCTTTCATATGTAGGCCTACCAGCTTTCTCTCACTAGATTTGAGGGCGCTAGAATTTAGGCGCACTAGTACGTCAAAAACCCTGGTGCGTAAGCCGTACTAGTACGGCCAAAACCCTGAAAGGGTTAAGCATAAAAGACACAGCAGCAAGTATTAAAACCTTAGTAAGTATGCAAATATATGTATTATAATCTTTCATGGTATGTGTTTGTGTTTTGGTATGTTTGTGCAGGAGGGGCGGCATAATGCTATGACTAACACTGTACATGCTGTGCTGGCATGCTGGTACAAATTAAAATCACTAAGAGTGTCTCACTAATCTTTAAGATATCATATTAATAACAATAATAATAATCACTCTAGGCACTTTAAATGTTGTATATAACATTATTATAGACATTTTCATTAATCCATCTATAAGAACATAAGGAGGAACACTGCAACAGGCCTAATGGCCCATGCGAGGAAGGTCCAAATCGCCTACCAACTGTTATTTATTCTACTGCAATAACGTGAAGACAACTTGTCCACAATGCAAGGTGTTTGTATTATGGGGAAAAAGTTTCACAAACACATGTATTATGCAAAGGGAATGCATATGAACTGTGTTTAACCACCCATTACCTGTTCATTCTCAGTTTGTTTACATTTTCCATGTCTCTCATTCTCTCTCGTTTACTACGACATCTAGGGTAAGTTGTGATAAAAAGAGGGGGGTTAAGGTACCTAGAGATTAGCAGAGAGCATGCATAGTTCCTTTGTATAAAGGCAAAGGGGACAAAAGTGAGTGCAAAAATTATAGGGGAATAAGTCTGTTGAGTTGTAGATAGTAGGTTGGTAGACAGCAACTGCCCAGGGAGGTACTACCGTCCTGCCAAGTGAGTGTAAAACGGAAGCCTGTAATTGTTTTACACGATGGTAGGATTGCTGGTGTCTTCTTTTTCTGTCTC